TTGCTGATAATACTGCCCGATCAGCTCACGAGAACGCCCAGACAACCCCAATTCCATTGTCGAGAACCGACGCTGTGAGGGGCCTTCAATCGTTCGCTAACACTATGTCAGAAACTTGGCTGAGTGGCCCTAGTGTCGGGAACCGCCGCCTACACAAATTGGACCCATCGAGAAAGCTTCAAGTTTTATCGGACATCTCCCGCCAGGATGCAGCTTTAATGTGCCACATGTGGTTAGGAGTAGCTTTTACGAAGGCGTACTCCTTTCGCATAGAAATGGCGGATAGGTCCCGATCTGAATCGTGCGTCACGGACGAGACAATAGCACATCTACTGTGTTCATGTGAACGTTTTGCGAGCGAACGCAACTTGCTACGCGAAACGTTAGAGACACTAGACAGTAGACCTTTTTCCCAATAGAAGATCCTTGGTTCATGGCTCCATGCGTCGCAGGCCAGCAAAGCGACGCGGGCATTGCTAAGTTTTCGAAAGACGACCGGACTACGCGACCGCTTATGAGCGTGCAATGGACAAGTTCACATCTACACACACGTTGTCCTTCACTTCTCTCTCTCTTCTCCTTTAATGCCCTCACCCCTTCCCCCAGTACAGGGTAGCAAACCAGACGTGCGTCTGGTTGACCTCCCTGCCTTGCATTTCTTTCCTTCCTCCCACCTCCTCCTGCTCTGACGTTGCCCCTCGTTGTGTGGCACGGACCAATCGAATGAAGAAAAAGGGTTATACGCTAAGAAGAGCCCGGATCGGGGTTCACTGTGAGCTAGCTGTCCAGGGGGCCCATGATGTGGCACTTGGGCTTGCCTGACTGCTCCAACGTGAGAGCAGCCCAGCTGCACGTTGGGTCGTGCACCTCAGCACTTCGAATAAAGTTTCGCATCCATCCATTCATCCATCAGCTAGCAGTATGGCCTCAAACAAATAAACGAGTTGATGATGTTGATGATGGTTTCTTATCAATAAAGTTCACCCACAAAAGTAATTCCCAAGATCTGAGTGTGAGGATGTTGAAAGTAATGTAATTTGAAACTAAAAGCAATCTGAAAAGTTTATTTAGAGATAACACTTCAAATAAATAAAAATGCTTACAGAAGAAGCAGTCAGACGATCTTTGTTCTCTGATAGAAATAAGAATGTTGATTGAAAGAGTCGAGCATTGATTTACGCTTGTCATGGAGGTGGCACATACTTACTACTGATCTGTTTTCTTTCAATACCTAAAGGGGCGATGACACTAAATTTCAAGCCTGTTGTGTGTTTCTTCTGTGTGCAAAGACTCTCCACAGGACGAGTCGGACAAACAGAACGCGTAGAATATACTTTAATTCACTTCTAACTGTGTAGTCGAATGCTCAGTTTCGCTATGTAGGCGAATCACATGCGCAGCAACACTGACGTTTCATATGGCTGTGTTCCAATTATTAGACAGCACGTAGACAGGTTACGCAGACTGCTTAGAAGACAGCACCGAGCCCATGCTGTCCGAGAATTGGAACACGTCTGTCTGTATGGCTTTTACGCGACGGTGTGCTACCTCGCGTCGAGAAGAGAAAGCCAAATTAACCAAACGTAACAGTTGTGTTTTCTGGCTTATTTCGTGTGTAAATCTTAAAAAATTAAGCGTTACTCAAATTTACCGTCTGAAGAAGCATCTGCTTTTGTGCTGACGATCATTCCGGCTAGATTCAATCTATCTTAGTGATTCGCTGAGCCGCCATCTTGTTTAGGCAGCAAAGTAGCTTGAATTGTATTTTTCTACGACACGGTCTTCTCGGAGCTGTCTATTTTGCTGGAAACGTGAGAATTGCAATGGGACTTAAGGTGGCCGCCATCAATTTAGCTGTCTATTTAGCCATCTACGGTGAGTATTGGAACACCCACTGAATACAAGAAGTAACGGCAGTTGTCGTGACGTCACACCAGATTTGTAGTGACGTGAGTGACCTCCGCTATCTCTGAAACGCATTTTGTGAACAAGAAAAGAACTAGCATGCCTGCTGTTGCGAGTGTGCTGGCGTCCCTTGCAGAGACACTGTGTGCGTCTCTCAAGGACTCTGGGTGCTTTCGAAAAGACACTCGACGCCTCGTTCAGAAACACTGCGCGCGTTCAACAGCGGGGCTGTCTCATCCCCCATCAGCATCTTGGCGCCTATACACCTTTTCACAGGAAGGAAAAAAACACCGCCATGATGGGCTGTGCGCGGGAGTACAAAGACTAAGGGCGCAACGTTCTCAGTGCATTTTCGAGGGGTTGGGTTCATTTGCACAGCCCAAGGAGGGCTATGGCGGCCCCCAGCGAGGCGTTTATGAAAAGGTGAATATAAAGCCGGCGCATCAAGCATCGGGCGGCTTCCTCGTCCACGTAGTTCGAACGTTGTAAATGTTTCAAAGTGAAGCCATAGAGTAACATACTATACATGGGACAGCTTTACTCTCCCATAGTAGAGTACTTAGTACTCTAAATCGTTACCCACTTTTTCTAAACACACATATAAACGCTTTGTTTTCTTCTTGCTGCCGTTTTCTTTGCCACTGCCTCGATGCTACTGCAGCTGGTCATGGCGACTGTCTGTGCGTCACAGCCTTGTGTGCTCTAGTGAGCAAGCCACCTATACATCGACGTCAATTCCCAATTCGGAACCGCGAAACTGAAACCCAAAATGGTCCACATAAGTAGAGTAATAACAATTGATTTAGCGAAAATACACGAACCATGGTGTACGCATCATGCTTCCCGAAGCTGAAGGAAACGCTTACAGCAAAGAACACGCATGCCACAAATTTGATGGTGCCAACTTTTTGCAATCAAGCGAACCCAAGGTGAACCAGAAGTTCACCGAATCCTACACGCTAGTGCCATTGCAGTCACCTAATTGAAACAGTCACGTTGCCTTAAGTTTTCAAGATTTTTTTACAGGGAGATATAGTGAACTGATACATTAATGTCCATCCTTCTTTTTTTTTGCTCATCCGACTTGTTTACTGCACTCACCACGTGAAGATATACTAATATTACGACGTGTATTTACTGGACTGAGAAAAGGGAATAGAAGTGTGGACTTTGGAAGATCTCTCTCTCGGCAGCTTTGTCCCGTGTGACCTCGTCATTCAGCGTTCTATTGAACAACCACCGTACCCCTATTTAAACGTAACACTAACATTTGGCCCACAAAGTCAGCACTATTTATGATTGCTAGCATGTTAATTTAGTAGTTTTGTAATGTATTTTATTTAAAAGGTAATTTTGCTACTGCATCACAACAATTAGTAAGATGCCGATGATTCAATCCCTCATCATGCACATTTAAGAAACATTGTGATTTGTACACAGTATTGCATGTACTCAAGATGTGGACGTCTATTCAATTTACACATTATATTGCTTTGCACTAGATTCAGACGTCACCTGCACACATTTCAGTAATTTCCGCATGATACGTCTTTCCATAAGATGCGGAGTCCGCATCATACGTCTTATGCGGAGCCCGCATCATACATCTTATGCGGAGTCCGCATCATACGTCTTCCATATTCCAATAATTCCGTATGTGAGGTCTCCGCATCTTACGGAACGTTTCAGTAGGGACATCGACGTCAATTCCCAATACAGAACCACGAAACCGAAACGCAAATTGGCCCGCATAAGTAGAGTAATAATAAATGATTTAGCAATAATACACGAACCGTGGTGTACGCATTATGCTTCCCGAAGCTGAAAGAAACGCTTACAGCAAAGAACACGCATGCCACAAATTTGATGGCGCCACCTTTTTGCACACAAGTGAACCCAAGGTGAACCAAAAGTTGACCGAATCCTACACGCTAGTGCCATTGCAGTCACCTAATTGAAACACTCACGTTGCCTTAAGTTTTTCTAGATTTTTTTTACAGGGAGATATAGTGAACTGATACATTAATGTCCATCCTTCTTTTTTTTTTTGCTCATCCGACTTGTTCACTGCACTCACCACGTGAAGATATACTAATATTACGACGTGTATGTACTGGACTGAGAAAAGAGAATAGAAGTGTGGACTTCGGAAGATCTCTCACTCGGCAGCTTTGTCCCGTGCGACCTCGTCATTCAGCGTTCTATTGAACAAACCACCGTACCCCTATTTAAACGTAACGCTAACATTTGGCACACAAAGTCAGCACTATTTTTCAGGTCTTTCGAGTTTTCGTTAGGTTGATCATGCCAGGTGTTTTTACGCAGCGGTTAATTTCAAAGCATCTGATACGTATTTAAGTCTTGTTGATAAAGTTCAGCCACACATACTTCTATGCCTTTGTTTAAAACTAGTGTCTGGGCAGAATTCGGCTTTATCAAAATGATTACCTCAAAAATATATCAGCACAACAGCTTCTCTCCTTTGGAACTTTCTTTAAAACTACGTGACCAGGCGACTTTGTCTGCCTATTCCTGAACGTACGTAGTGTTTACGCCTTTATGTCCTGTAAACGAATGTCCATGTATGTCCTGTAAACGAATGATGTGTTTTGCGAACACTTCATTCGTTTTACAGGACATACATGGTACCCTGCAAGGCCATCACCGAAACAGACATCCACTTTGATATAAAATGTGCCCCAGCTTCAAAGGGTTCTTTTCCCGGCTGCGGCAGCTTCATTTTCGATGAACTCAAAAACGCTTGTGGCTCGTGTACTTAGAGTTGGGTGCGCATTAAAGAATCTCATGTGGACAAAATTTTCGGAGCCTTCTACTAAGGCGTTTCTGATATACGTATTGTAGTTTTGGGACGTAACCCCAACAAAGTATTGAATTGTGTTTTCGAAGAACTATGACTTCACTAACAGCACGACAATTGAATAATTATTGCTGTTGTCATAACGATGCTGCTCAATACGAAATATTTTAACGAGACCACTTGCTTTATATTTGGTACACAGCACCTTTATAAGCAATTCTGCACGCATTTATCAGCAGCCGATCATAACACTTGTCGCTTATAGACGGCGCCATACCTTGAACAAGGCTTGAGTCGATCCTGAGCGAACGCATCCGTAGCACACGGCTGACTGCTTCGCCAAGTCTTCGGCACTCTCGATGGGTGACAGCAGCCTCTCTTTAGTCAGTAGAGCTGCCAGGTTAGCCGTGTAAGAGGAAACCAGCAAGAAGGAGAAGATCCACCAAGTTGCAGCAATGATGCGCGCTGAAGCTTCCCTGTACATTATACCATGTTATGTAAAATTATCTTGAGCAGGGAGTGCCCAAGCAGGCCACAGGGTGGAACTTTGTCGACACAATGCCATCCTATAGGGAGTGTGCTATCTTATATGTTTTGTATATGGTATGTAGATGCATTATGTCCGATTTCTGACAGAAATAGGTAATAATAAAAGAAGCTACGCTAAACGAGCCAAATGTAAGTAATGCGAACATTGCAAACTATCCTTAAGGTTGCGGTAAAAAACATGTAAAAAATAGGCAACAAACAGTCGGGAAATGCACAAAAAATCGTTACTTTTTAAACACCGGAAACACCGAATAAGTACTTTTCTGTAATTTTTGCTAAAAAATTCACCAGGCCGCGACAAACTACTGCGAAACACCATAGTTGTTAAAGTATGTTCTCCCTGTTTTGTTTTTAATACATATGTTGGATTCATGCCACCGTTAAGTACTTTGTTGCTGTCTATCATGGGGCAGCGTCATCTCGTCGATAGTACTTCGAACACGTGGCAAAGAATATTTCAACCGAGATGGCCAAATCTAAGGTGTGTCACAAGACTAGGCCAGTTCCTACAAGCGGGACTGGAGGACGTCTTTCCGAGCGAGAACAATTCACTAAGGCTATTAGCCACATATCTCCTCAATCTGTGAGCCGAGTTACGATCTCTGCGCAATGTAACATTACTTTTTAGGCTTAAAATGTAACGTACCACTTCGTGAATAATCATTTTTTAAATCTATGCTTACTTTAGAAGAATTGGTGTTATTTTAACTATTCAGCGTAGTCCTATCTCGCGCAACAGAATGAAGCGACCCCTCAAGCGCTAACTTTTGTCTTTCGAACACTCTCTTTTATCAGCATATGGTGGAAAACCAAACATTTGCTTAGTAGAAGTTTTCTCTTTAATATGCAAACACAGAAAAGATTGAGAACAAGAATCGCAATATTTAGTTTTAAACAAAATCTATGCAATGAAGCAGTTGATGAAAGAAAGATAGTTTTCCACTTACCAAGGAAAAATACCACAATCCTGCCTCATGATGGTGCTAACTATAAACCAAAAACTGTTAGGGAGAGTGAAGTCACTTTGCACCGTTGGCAGAGTACTATTTCTCCGCCTGTCAGAATATATTGTATCTTGTTGTTGGTCGGAGGAACCGACTTCTTCCTGACCCTTGATGATGTCGAGCCTGGCACGGCCACTGTCCGTTTCAGTGTACCAACCTACATCACTGCGCGCTAAACTGTTTCCGCAGCAGCAGCATCCATAACGTCGCGATATGGCACTACTTCTGCGACACCCTGCACTCTGAGCACGAACGACGCAGCACAGAAGCACGCTCACAGTGACGCACGCCCCGGCGACACAAAGCCACACATCCCCCGAAAGCGGAGACAGGAAGAATAGGAGGGAACGCTTCTGGTCGGTCTTCTTGTAGAGTATGCTGACCCCCAACGTCATGAAAGGCATAGTGAAGTCGACAGATTGCTCGCGCTCTGAGGTGATGGTCAGGTCACCAATCGCCAGGTCTGCCTCCTGCAGTGAAGACGCAGAAATCGTCGAACAGTTGAGCCGTTTAAAATAAAGATATTTGTTAGAGGTGAGGTGGGTTATAAGTACGCTTGTATACTGAAAAACGCATGACGCTACAGTTGTCTTCAAGAAATTTTCAGATAATTTTGGTGGTTGACACATTCAAATAAAAGCTGTAAAGTCAATGGTTCAGAATATTTGCAAATGAAAGGTAGCCAGTATTTACCCTCAGATAATTCTGGTTGAAATGTCTCAATACCTTCACTAAGCTTAGCTAAACAGTCTAAACCTAGCCACCTGAGGCTTACAAGCCTCACCTTTAATCAACGAGATGGTGTCATTTCACTTATTACCCACTTGTCCTCGGTAACGTCATCCCTAATCATAGGGTCAAATACAACAAAGCTTTAGAACACGGAGTTCTGTTCACAATGAAAAGAACATGATAGCACGCGTCTAAATTCATTCCTACAAAATGAAAGTGGTTAGGACTTTGGTGTCTATAACTCAAAAATGATAACTCAAGTCCTAATATTATTATCAACTATTAAGCACTGCGGCTTCTTGACCCTTAGCCTCAGTTAGACAACTGGGTGCGTTCTTTTTTTTATCAGGCTGGCGTGTAAATGCGGTGAACAAAGAACGAGGGTGAATACGTATGGTGCATGGCACATTAGCCATACTGAGCTTTTACGAATATGACAAAAGCGGGCGAAAGCTGTCTATGTATGTGAACCAAGTCTACGGCATGGTGATGTTTTTTTTATAAAGAAGCACGATAGCCTAACCTGGTTGCTAGTCTGTTAGAAGTTATTGTTGGTATTAGGAGCAGCAAAAGCTAGACGATAGTTTTTTGTTTAAAATACCATTTATTCTGAAGACAACAAAGCTTTTAAAGCACAAGATAGTGCATAACGGCTGAATGTTGTGAACGGGAATGCAACCAAACTTTCAGAAGTACTGCGTGGGCTGCTTAAGAAGCACGCGAAGTGTTATAATCGCAATCTGCACAAGCAAGTACGACCGTTGTCCTTAAAGCTGTCTACCGTTACGCTCATTTGTTGGCGTACGCAGTGAATTTTCTCGATCAAAACTTACCATGTCCACAAGTTCGCGCATTATGCCATTCCACCTGCCCTGTGAGTCACGGGTTCCGTAGGTGTCATCTCTGACGAGCTTGAGCTGGTAGCGGAAGCCCAGCGTTGCAGATATTTCATGGAGCAAATCCACGCAGTAACCCTCGAAACGGTCGTTTCCCTCGAGCTTGTGCGCGGATTTCTTGAGCATGACGTATGGTGCATTCTGCAGTAATGATCGTGTAAGGCATACGCGAGAGCTTCACTCTGAAGTTTGGGCGATATCGCTTTCATGTTTTCTGCTTCAAGAGGCTTTTAGCTTGTGTCTATGCATTTTTACATTACCATGCCACGGGAATACAGGAATGCATGATTTTGCAAAGCTTTGGCTCCCCATGCCTAAACTTTTATGCACGTACGTAAACGTATACCTTCTCGTTTGTGAAAACCACTAAATGGTGATGAAAACTGCATCGCCTCACCTTGTCGCAGCTGCAGATTTTGTAATGTACCCCGGCCCAAGAACGCATCCTCACCACTAGGTCGAGCGGTACCATTGACGAGGACGCAGTGGTTGACCTTGGTCATCGCTGCATTCTCCGAGAAATCGCCATCGCCTGTTGTTTAGTGCTGTTTTCGCATGGTCATGCCAGTTTCACCGCCTACAACGCGATGACAGAGCCGCAACTACTGCGAGAGGGGCCCACCGTTGCCAGCCTTATTGACATAGCACCGGTATATGTCGTCGCTGTATCGTCTCCGTCGTCAGTCGCCAAGTGAACGCCACCAGGAGGCTCATCTAATGCGCTTGAAGCTACTTTTAGTTCATTTCTTCCTTCAACGAAAACTAATGACTTATTGGCTCTTTTCACAAAACACCAGACTTGTTTTGACGTTTGTTTGGATGGCTGGGGTCAAACTACGGCGGCTTCTCATCGCATCGCCACAGACCGGTCTCGTATCATTCGCCGTCGCCCCTACCGTGGGTCGCATTCAGAACGCAAGGCTATCGAGGAGCCCCTCCGCGGTGGTCTAGTGGCTAAGGTACTCGGCTGCTGACCCGCAGGTCACGGGATCAAATCCCGGCTGTGGCGGCTGCATTTCCGATGGAGGCGAAAATGTTGTAGGCCCATGTGCTCAGATTTGGGTGCACGTTAAAGAACCCCAGGTGGTCGAAATTTCCGGAGCCCTCCACTACGGCGTCTCTTATAATCATATGGTTGTTTTGGGACGTTAAAACCCCAAGTATTAATCAAGGTTATCGAGGAGCAAGTCAATGACATGCTCGCACGCTACGTTATCAGGCCTTCAGCAAGCCCTTGGTCTTCTGTTGTCCTAGTTAAGAAGAAGGACGGATCAGTGCGAGTTTGCGTTGATTACAGGGCACTAAACAAAATGACCCTGAAGGATGTATATCCCATGCCTCGGATTGACGATGCCCTAAACACCTTACAGGGTGCAAAATACTTATCAAGCCTTGACCTATGATCTGGCTATTGGTAGATCCTGATGCATGAGTCTGATAAAGTGAAGACGGTGTATGCTATAGTCCTGATGCCCTCTTCGAATTTAATGTGATGCCTTTTGGGCTCTGCATTGCCCCAGCCACAATTGAGCGAATGATCGATATGGTGCTTCGGGGCCTAAAATGGAAGACCTGTCTTTGTTACCTGGACCACATCGTCATCTTTTCATCAATCTTCTTGCAGCACTAAGAACATCTATACGAGGTTCTCACATGTCTAGCCAAAGGCAGTCTCCAGCAAAATACCATGAAGTTTGCGAGCCGTAGCATCAAAATGTTAGGTCACGTTGTCAGCAAGCTTGACATCGAACCTGATCCCGACAAGGAGGCCGCTGTGTTGCTTTTTCCTAAGCCCACCACGCAGATGACCGGTCTTAGTCCTATCAATTTCACTGCACCGTATGACCTCCTTCAGTGCGCAGACCTCACTTCACTCCAACGTGCAGACACATACTGCCGTGCAATCATCGATCGGCTCACTGGTTTTCCCCGTGCTCCCAACAGCCACTTACGACGACAACTCGCGTGTTTCAAACTTCATGATGGGGCACTACTTCGGTTATTTACCATACTCTCCGTAGCCGATGGGTCCGTGTCATACCTCACTCACTGCGATTCCAAGTTTTAGAAGCGTGTCATGACGACCCGACGGCTGGCCACTTGGGTTTTCATAAAACCTACGGTCACATTAGGACTACCTGCATCTGGCCTGGCCTCTCCACTAATGTTGCCAAGTACGCCACTTCCTGTTCGCCATGTCAGCATCAAAAACGTTCGAAATCTCCCGCCGGTCCCCTACAACCTCTCCAGTGCCCATCCGCTCCCTTCGAGTTCGTCAGTATAGACTTATACGGACCCCTTACGCTTACCCCCGCCGGTCACCGTTGGGTTGTTACTGCCGTATACCATCTTACTCGCTATGCTGAGACGGCAGCTCTTTCTTCTGGCGCTGCCTCCGTACTGGCCGACGTTGTTCTGAGTGCTATTATCTTGCGCCACGGCGCTCCTCGTGTTCTTCTGAGTGACCGTGGCAGGACATTTCTTTCTAATGTGCTCTTTGAAGTCATACAGGCCTCTGACATCATCCATAAGACCACCTCCGCATATCACCCGCAAACAAATGGTCTCACTGAGCGTTTTTATAGAAGTTTGTCAGACGTGACCTCTCTACGTATATCCAACCCAACCACAGGAACAGGAACACAATAATACCTTTCGTCACGTTCGCCTACAACACTGCCATTCAGCGCACTACAAGTTACAGCCCGTTTTTCCTTGTACTTCCTTGATGGCCGTCCACCATCTTTTGTTCTAGACAGCAGCTTTAGACCACGCCCTCTGTTTCATCTGCATTCCTTCCGGAAGAGTTCGCTGCCCGTGTCAACCACTGCCGCACAATCGCCCACGTAAACACCTAGTATTCAGGCCTAGCGAAAGGCTCATTGGGATGGGACACGTCGAGTTGACACGTCAAGTTGTGTCCTTCTACTCAGGCTCCTCTGGACACCTGTTCGCTACACCCGGCCTCATGTGAAAAATTTATTTACAGATACTTGGGTCCTTACACCGTGCTTGAAGGAACATCGGCCATGAATTATCGCGTCTATCTGGTTACTTCGGCTTCTGATCGCCGTCGTCACGGGACCAAGATTGTTCATGTGTCTTGTCTGAAGCCTTATATCCGACGCTCGTACCCTTACTAAATGGGCGTCTTGCTGACCGCTTTCGTGTAGGGAAGAAAAAGTGTGAGTGCTGACCGTGTAATTCATCACCTGCGCATACAAATCATGATCATCATCGTCGTAGTCTCTCGCCGCGTGTTCGGTTGCTGGCTCACGCATCTGTGTTGAAAATACAACGGTGGCTCCTTGGCTATACCTGACGCCGTCTCACATTATATTTGATTTAGTCAAAATTGAATCATAATTGAGGCAGAATATAGATGTTTTTACGGTTTAGCGTATGTGTATAAAAACACTGGATTACTGTACGAAGGTATTGACACCACGTGATGACATGGGCACGTTTGTTAGCACCTAGTATTTATTTATTTATTTATTTATTTATTTATTGTATACCTGCATCGCCTCATTTGGCATTACAGCAGGGGGGTTACATCCAAAAATATACAAAGTAAGCACACTCACAGAGCGTGGTAAATTGCATCATTGTATAAAAATTGCTACGAAGGAAATATTACTAAAAAGGAACTATTTCGTCATTGTCCCGCTACAAAGCATTTATTCAGGGAGTGGAATGCATGAAATTTCTGCAAAACAGTTTTGTGCTCTCTTGGTTTTGCTTGACCACCTTAGATGGCGCCACCTATCCAGTATATCGGGGGGCTTTAGGTCTCTTACGTTTATCTTTGCGGCATTCCAGGTCCTCCAGATTCAATAAGGTGGGTGAAGCGAGCTGACAACGATTCGCACTCAAATTTGCGGCTTGAGTCTCCGCAAGATGGAAACTGGCTTGGACTCGCTCGTTAGATTCTGTGCCAACCAGTTCTGCCCCCTCGATCTCTGATGACAGCGCAGCTATGGCCGACCGGCCTGTCCTCCGCCAACTCCTGACGCCGTGAAGCTCTCGCTGAGTGGTGCCCTGTCCTCGGACTCCTGCGACCGTGTCCATGTTTCCTATCTTCTTTCTTCTGTATGTGTATCTCTCTGTCCCTGCCCCTATCTCTATCCATATCCATTTTATATACTCCTTACCGCCATCCTTAGTGAGTCACTGTTGAGGTGCCGCACTACGATGCAGACAGTTACAGGGCTTACTTTTATCTTCTTTTCTCTCTCTCAAGAATCACTTACAAACCATGCTTAGCCACGATTGAAGGTCACTTAGTGAGATAGGGCCAGAAACGTAAAATCTTTCGGGAGAGTAGTATACGGTTCATAAAAGTTTCACATCTTGTAGAGGCTTGTGCATGCGCATTTTAGTTCTGGTGACTGATAACGCGGTAACCTAAAGAAGTATACATACAAGCTAAAAGCCCTTTATAACTCTATTCAAACTACGTTTCCTTTGATAACACGCAGTCACCATTGCGGAAAAATAACATTAGCCGTAATTAGCGTGTACGGTGTCCCAGGCTACGCATAGAGGCATTGGAAGATCGTGTTACCGCCCGGTGGTGCCGAAATCTTGCGACACTTGAGGAACCATACACATGAACACGTTTTTTTTTCTCTTGAATACGAAGGACACTCATTCCTAACTACGCTGCTGCAACGCGTTTCTACAAGAACAATTTGGTGCTTGCCTCGTTCTTGTCTTCCTCGCTATAGATGGCACCACCAATCCAACCTTTAAGGGGCTTTATGCCACTCACGTTTATGACTTCCATTTTCTAGATCACACAAATTATTTATGATTGTTGGAGTTTAACGTTAATAATTATGATTAACGCCGTAGTGGAGGCATGCAGCAATTTCGACCTCATGGTGTGTTTTAAAGTGAACGTAAATCTAAGCACATCCACTTCAAGCATTTTCACCTCCATCGATAATGTGACCGCCGCTGCTGGGATTCGATATTGTGGCCTACGGGTCAGCAGTCGTTTGCCTTAGCCATTGGATACGCGTGGAAGTTACCGTGAACGAAGGCGAATTCAAAATCTATGTATGGTAGTGGACGTGAAAAATACCTGGTGATTAGTTTACGTTCCGTGAAGCCAGTATAAGTTTCATAAACACATGCGCAAGCGCTGATTCTAGACGATATTTGATATCACATTAACTTCAGAAAACATACGTATACGCTAAGAGCCCCTATTACTGTGTAGCATACTTGATAATTTCCTATTGAAACGATCTAGCATGTAGCCTTTAATAATCATGCAGAAGTATGCACAAGAATGAGCACAACTACGCAAGTATTTACACTTGGCGCACATTCGGCTGGCACATACTAAACACGTTTAAACTAGCTACTAGGTTTTCGTTGATTGCGAAGTTTGCTGGGAGCTGCCGTAAATGCAAACAAGATTGGTAAATATGTGAAACCACGTATTTTTTACATTACCTCAAGTGAATGGCTCATTTGAACACTATTTTTATGTTGGTCTGCTTTACGTGTCTGAAGTGATTGATTTAACGTGTTATCTTGTAGCCCGTCTTTTTCCTTCGATTTTTCTTTCCGCTTTTTTCCCCTCTATATTCACCTTCAAAAAATGAAGGGCAGTAAACCAGATGTTTGATTTTGAATGATCTTACCATCTTTCTCCTTACTTATCTTTTTCTCTCTCTAGCAGCCTAATAACACTTTTCATGTAATTTATTTTGCCTGCTTCTGAGAGTATCTAACATGCAGATACCCATTTTGCCAAATTGCTTGAAATCTCTCATTTTGTACTCTTGTTTGGGGTACACAGTCTTTCACACTTGCATCTGTCGGCCAATTTAACATTTGACATTCAAAAAGGCAAAACTTCATATATATATTTATTTTCAAATACTGCAGCCACGTTATGGGGCTATCGCAGGAGTGGGTACACAGCAAGGAATAATAAAAAGGTACAAAACAAAACAGCTGAATACACAAGTACATTGGCAGATCATAGAAATACAGAAATTTTACAAACAGAGTTATACAAACAATGAAAGGTTTACAGCACACCGTCTTTTAATGCCTTCGAAAATTCATCTTTCTGCAGAGACCGAATGTGACCTGGTATGAGGTTCTATATTTCAATACATCGAGGAAAAAAGGTGTATTTGAAGAAATCAGTACGAGGATGAAACACAGATACATTAAGTGCGTAGCTGTTTCTGGTGGATGATGGTTTGGCAGGTGTTATGTAGTTTTTGTGCGGTGAATATTGCGGTGAATTAAATAAAGAGTGAAAAAGTTTCAGAGACTCGATGTCTCGTCTTTTAGAAAGTGATGATAGACCAAGCTGCGCTAGATGGCATGATGGTGAAAAATTACGATCATAGCGTCTGTAAATGAATCGAATAGCTTTTTTCTGGATGGATTGAACGCGTTTTATTTCAGTGATTTTATAAGGGTACCATACAGTGGCTCCATACTCAAGGCTCGGTCGTACGAGGGTTTTGTGTGTAAGCAGTTTTGTTTCCCTTGGGGCTAAACGTAGTGAGCGGTTAAGGTATCCAAGTTTCTTCAGATCCTTGTTGCATGTTGTATCGATGTGACTAGACCAAGATAAGTTAGTAGTGAAAAGGAGACCAAGGTACTTATATTGTGAGACCCGCTGTACTACATAGTTATTAAAAGAAAAAAAAAAAAAAAATCTATATATATATATATATATATATATATATATATATATATATATATATATATATATATATATATGGGAGTAATAATTCATTGGGCCAGTTAGTTTTCGTGAAGGTATGAGATATGGCACAACGGGAGCGTTGTCAACAAGGATAAATATATTTATTTCCCAACAGTTTCGGGAGGGGTCCTCCCTTCATCAGGGGATCAGGGTATAACTCATCCCCTGATGAAGGGAAGACCTCTCCCGATACTGTTGGGAAATAAATATATTTATCCTTGTTGACAACGCTCCCGTAGTGCCATATCCCATACCTATATATATATATATATATATATATATATATATATATATATATATATATATATATATATATATATATATATAAGGGAAAGAAGTGTATACTTAAGGGCTCGTTTTTCCGTGTTTTAACACAATATTAATGAGATCTAACAGACAGTGATGTCAATGAATGTACGGGGCAAGTTATTGAACCAATGGAATGTAAATAAGAAGAAAGAAAAGAGGATGAAAAATAACCAGCCGTGACGGCTGGCTATTTTTTCATCCACTTTTCTTTCTTCGTATTTACATTCCATTGGTTCTAATAACTTCCCCTGTACATTCCTTGGCATCACTGTCTGTTAGATCTCATATATATATATATATATATATATATATATATATATATATATATATATATATATATATATATATATATATATATATATATATATAATGATCTCACGAAATGCAGCTTTACCAGTCCGACCACCTACTATACAGATAACTAAGCCAGGCGTCGCAACTTCCACCAGGTTCTAATAGTGAACGACGGGCTCACCAATATCGTCGTTATTCTCAAAGTCTTGTTCTTCAACACGCTGAGTATTTCGTCCTCAAACATCTTTTCTGGTCGAATAATGTTCAGCCCCGATGACATACTCCATGTTCCAACCTGAGAATAAACACGGAAACATGAAAAGTACGCAGATTAGGCAAAGAAATGCCATCACAAAAATACAATTTTTTGCAATCTTCCTAGGGCGGCACTTTAAGTTAAAGTTAGTTTGTACGCACGATTTGAAAACGAAAAAAAAAGTTACTTCGAGCACCCCTAACTTTCACCTTCTGAAGTAGGATGAGATGGCGCATTCTGTCTTTCACTTCGTCATGCTTCACAATGCCATAGGCAATGACTGTCTATGCACGTGGCATTGGATTTTTCGAGCTATTACAGCATGCTTGCTGCAAGAGCAGTTGCGATGTGTTCACGACGTCATACTTATTCGATTAGAAAATTGGCGAAGTACCCGCCCGCAAGGCGCCGTGCGCATCTGCGCAGCAACCCACTTTGCAATGAGCGGGCTGCTTTAAACAGCTGACTCATTGCGCAATTCGCACGTTTTTACGCCTGGTGCAATGGTAAGATTCTGCAACGTAATAATTCTTTCATCTAGATGACCCCTTGGTAGATAACATTATAATAACGTTCTTCTTAAGCAGTCTGAAGGGTGGAAATGGCTCTCTGAAAGAACACCGACTAGCCGCAGAAAGTGCCAGTTCGGTTCTAACTTTGACCAAAGTTTTCAAGATATTTTTATTCGCATGTATGTCGAATTACATCTCTCGACCACTTTCACTATCTACCAAGTATTCATTGCCAACACCGATGCCGAAATTTCAGCTAAACCAGCCGTTTAATGCTCATCATCATCATCATCATCATCATCATCATCATCATCATGATCATCATCATCAGCCTGACTACGTCCACTGCAGGACAAAGGCCTCTCCCATGTTCTGCCAGTTAACCCGGTCCTGTGCTTGCTGCTGCCAATTTATACCCGTAAACTTCTTATTCATATCTGCCCACCTAACCTTCTGTCTCCCCCTAATGATATCACATTATAATATCTTCACTGCAGAAAAAAATTCGGCGAGCTGTAAAAGCATCAGATATTAACAAAGGAACACGAGGATGCTGTGCTACAGTTGCACATTAAGATATATTACTTAACTGAGCAAACGCGATTTGTTGTCCACGAAATTCAACCACCACGGGAAAATCACATTGTTCTATGTATCGCATGCCAACGCCAGGTTATACTTACATCATGGCAACGCATTATTCGTTCATTCACCATTCAAGCTGAAGGTTTACGTAACAGGGTTCATAATGTGGAATGGTAAACAAGTTACATAAATTCAACCAAAGCGGCAGCAGGCAAATCTGCTGATAACAGCTAAATAAAGTGCTCTCCAGATTAATAATAAGAGTTGTGACGTAGGTAGTGCAGTCTTTGTTGTCATATGTTACATATATCTGACACTCTGTCCTACGATCCACCACAGTTGCGCCTGAGTGGCTTCAGTATGCAAGGTTAGGTAACAAGTAAACCGGTGTTTACTGACGTCAGCTGGTGTTGAACCTGTTCAATGGCTTACAATTTAAGTCCTCGAGAGACGCGTATAAAATTGTTACCCTACAAAACATAGGTGCACCCATCTCATAGCAGGCACGATTGCATGTAATTTTAACTATCCGCGACGTCCCTCCCCTATAAAATTAAATGCACGTAATGTCTAACACTGTGGTGAAAAAAAAACATAGTTTCAAGGTAATATTGTATGTGAACAAGTGAACTAAATGTCACTTGTAAACCACGTCATTGATAAAAACCAAGCATTCAATGTTGAATTCTAATGGCACAGCTAGATCAAGATTTTCTGCTCTAAGCGGAGCAATCACATTCCAATCGTGAATCAGAAGCGTGCGTTGTGTGTTCAAATGGCAGATTGAGAGCAACCGCAGATCATGGATTGATTTTTGGAGCAAGAATTCTTGTTCCACCAAAACCGGTGAATTTGACGGGAAGTTCACGGGACCTATTCTGTGCACCCGCCTTTCATCCAATCATCAATGGATGTCCGTAAAACGCTTTGCGCTCACTCACGCCCTGACATGCTCATTTGCTTTATTTCCGCTCACAAACTGCTGTAGTCGAGATGTGTGCGTTCCAATCACAGATTTGTGAGATACCAGGCTTGGATCTGCGCGCTCTTTTTGCCGTCTGGGCCACCGCTCGTGTCTGCTATTAGAATTCGACATCACTTACCAAAGTGAGTCCCGTACGCTTGAGTTTTGCCACGTACAGTGACACGTTTCTCCGCTGGCCCGAAGAATCCAGCCACAATGGTCCACTCAAGCCCGAGAAACTAATCTGCCAAAAACATGATTTAGTGAGATAAAATTTCAAACAACTTTCAACCAGTTCCTCACTGTGAAAAAGGGCCACCGGGTAATATATGAAAGGAGAGGCAAGGAAGTCGCAACCTTGCCCACTTTGGACACCATTGACGACCATCAATAAAGTTATATTCGCCTTGTCTAAAATGGTTAGCAATTATCTGAGCATAGACACTTTGAATACAAAACAATAATAAAGGTTGTGCTTTGCTTGGGCTGACAGCAGCTTGCCATCGTTTACCAAAACTTATCCCACTCACAATGTCCTCCAGCGAACATTTTCACAAATAACACTTTCACGCGTGTCACTTTTCGAAGCTGGCCAGCTAGTGGCAAAACGCACTTAGCCAAGGCTGCTTTTTTAATTAAGTCAAAGCTTAAAATATGAGAATGGGCTACTTTATTTAGTAAATATTGTGACATTGCAAAGACAAAACAAGGAGGAATGTTTCTCATTGAGTGCCTCTCTTTCTTTGTTCTTCGCCGATAAATAAATTTTCGAGACCTCTTTTCATAAACAATGCTTTAGGCAAGAGTACCAACAAAGCTTCTGCTCATCTGTATGGAGTTGAAAAACACCTGTCTTGGACAAGATGACTTGCGTACTTGGACATCGTCGTCGTTGCGAAAACCCAGCCACCTCATGGACGTCTTCCTGATTTTTTTTATATGGGATAACATAAACTGATCATTTCGCCTAATTTTCTTCACATCTGCATGAAATATTCGGATCCCTGAAAACATCCTCGATATTCTCCTAATTGTAAATAAAAAACGGCCCTTGTGCGAAAAGTAAGTATGAGCATGTATTACGGATCTACTTAGAACAAACGTGAAAAGCACCATGCGTTGTTGCCGAAATAACAGCAAGCCTTTGTTCGAGAAAGTAATTTTCCCAACTTCCGCACACATACATAGCGCTGGTAATTGGCTGTGCTTGTTCGCGACTCCTGTACAGCTACGAACTCCTCATTAGTCAATTCCTACTGAATATAATTCTATCGCCTGTGGCTCTGTTTATCCAGTGTTTTAAACGCTTTTACAGAGGAGAATCTGGTAAGGTGCCTTAAAAAAACCAAACCCTGATCAAGCATTATCCAGTACAGCCCTTCAGGCAGCCACTTCTCTGGTGCCTAATTCTTAGACTAGGTACACTGAACCATGTGTATACTCAGTGTCCTTATCGTTAAAAGCTTGCCTTGCGCGCTTACAGCCGCATATACTTTTCCTGTTCCTTATTACTGGGAGCGGAAGATAACTTTACAAACGTTGGTCGCTGCTCGCGATATTTGTCGCTCTAGTATATTTACTTCCGCTCCTATATTGCAGCTGCTAGCTGCTTTTGTAGATAAACTTAATATCTAGTGGCCTGTAAAGTAAAACACTGTGACGACACTTTTATTTCTCTGACATAGAAAAGCTCCGGTGTAAGATACAAAAAAAAGGCAGATCCCACGTGAAGAGGGAATCGATGTTATGAGAAGTACGAATGACAACTGTTGATATGTCACTTCAAAATCAGCACAACCTTAAGAGGTGAAGGTAAATGATGCTGTACATGACTTTTGCGTCTTGATTATCATGTTTGTATTTATCGTTCACCTTCGTCATCAATTCATGTCACTTGCTACCAAATTTAGTATATCTGGAGCTAGCGAAAAGACCGCGAGCACACTATGAGCGTGGTATGTTGTCAAGTTCTTGCATGACACGCATGTCAAGATTATCATGTTTGCCCCAGTAATATATTTCGTCATCCATTGACGTCACGTAACCCCAAATTTGCTATATGTGGAGCTAGCAACACAGCCATGAGCGCATCATGAATTGCCGAATATGCTCCAATTTAGCGTTGACGCGCGCGCACGCTGGGCATAACGACGCTACGTTAGCAAAATGCGAGCACTCTATAGTCTGACGCCGGGCGCGATAAGCATCCGTTGGCGCGGCTGGCAGCAACCAGCGCGAAATGCGATATGCTGCATTTCGCGCCGATGCCTTACCCAGACGACACTGCGTCTCCCTCTTTTCATGATGAAGGGACGCTGGACGCGCTGAAACGTGCATGCGTCAAAGCAACGCAGCGCGGCGCACTTCTTCTAGTATATGGCAGGACCGGCGCCTGGCGTGGCAACCCCGGCGTGACGCGACGAAATGAACGCCAGCGAGCACGTACACAGCGTCAGATCGAAATTAATTGGTGCCTTGATTGTGGCATGTAGTCACGTTATTGCATGACACGCATCTCATTTTTATCATGTTTGCACCATTATCATACCTTCGTCATCCGTTCACGTCACGATATACCGCATTTGGTACATCGGAAGCTAGCGAAACGGTCGTGAGCGCATCATGAGCGTAGCTTGTAGTCATACATGACATGCATCTCATGTTTATCATGTTTGTACCAGTATTATATGTTTGTCATCCATTCACTTACTGTAATACCAAATTTGGTATATTTAACGCTAGCGAAACGGCCACGAGCGCATCATGACCGTGGCATGTAGTCATGTTATTGCATGACCCGCACCTAATGTTTATCAAGTTTGCAGCAGTATCATACCTTCGTCATCCGTTCACGTCCCGTAATACCAAATTCGGTATAAGTGAAGCGTGCGAAACGGCCGCCAGCGCATATTGAGCGTGGCATGTAGTCATGATGATGCATGACACGCATCTCATCATTATATTGTTTGCACCAGTCACATACTTTCGTCATCGATTCACGTCCCGTAATACCAAATTTGCCATAAGTGAAGCTAGCGAAACGGCTTCCTGCATATCATAAGCGTGGCATGTAGTCACGTTGTTGCATGACACACATCTCATGATTATCATGTTTGCACCAGTTGCATACCTTCGACATCGATTCACGTAGTGTTATACCAAATTTGGTATGTGACGCTACCGAAACCGCCGCGAGCGCATCATGAGCGTGACATGTACTCATGTTGTTACATGACACGCAAGTCATGATTTTATTGTCAGGGTATGTCGCTTGTGTTCGCCATGCAATCATGTCATGCCATACCACTTTTGCAATATGCCATGTGAACGAAACCACCGCAAGAGCTGCAGGACCATGAAATGTAAATCATGACATTCTTGACATACATATCATCATTTTCATATCATGACTATTCAAATAAGTTCTTGATAGAGTCATGTTATACCATACCAAGTTTGGTATCGATACCATTATTGAAACGGCCAGGAGACCTAAAGGTCGTAGGCGGCTAGATAGATAGATACGCTCAAAGTCGCCGAAGTTCGCTAAGAAATGCTTCGCATTTAAAATTACTATTGACTCATGAAAAGAAATGAGATTGAAGACTGCCTGCTTTCGTTATTTCGTGACGACTGCATGTTACAAGGCGAAAACGAGAGAAATGTTTGCTTTTCGTAGCAAACGGTACTTGGAGAAATTATGGAGAACGAGGCTTGCCGTATGTAATCTTGTTACATGCAATAATTTAAGGTACCACTGCCGTGAGTAATCTTGCTACATGCAATGGTTGAAGGTACTGTAAAAAGTGTGGGTGACGAGAAAGCGACTTAGCGAGGTTTAATGCGCAAAGGTGGTACTACTCATAGTGTAGAACACCCCGAACGACAAGGTACCATTCCTAGTCTTCCTCGCGTTGTTAGGTGACTCAACGGTTTCAGTTGCAGCGACAGCACAGAATGTCATGCGAGCACTCAGAAGTACACCTTGCTATCAAATTGGCAGGTGAAGTCTCGCGAGGGATTATCAAGGTCAATGTATACGAATGAGCACTACACAATTTGTTGATTTACGCTCAGGATGTTGGCGTTGTACATCTCGCGTACAGTCTGCGCGATATCCTGTAATACTTCCTAACAAGGTTCGCTACCAAATATATTCTATCAGTTTCACTACTCATACTTTAGGTACACCCCTCATTTGTGAAGATGTAGACTTTGCAATCAGAATCACTAAATCTTACTTATCTCCTGTTCTTTTTTGAAACCGTGAAATTAAAGATCTTTGTCTACCTTTCAAACAATGTTCGGTGCCAGACATTTCTGATTAGTTTGACTAATAGCCCCTTATTTATGAAAAATAGACCATGTTACCAAAAATCACTAAATTTTAGTAACGTTTGGTTTCTCGAACCACGAAATACAACATCTCTAACGTTCATTTCTTGTTTCTCTCTCATACGTCATAGCGCTCTAATGTGACGGAACTTCGAACATGTCCACAGCCGGCAAATTTACCACTGTGGACAAGAAAATTACACATTAAGGACACCTCCTTCAGAGCTCTAGCTATTACGTCTATTTGACATATTTGATTTAAGGGAGTTAGTGCTTCTTGCGTGATATACACAAAATTATGGCCGTGGTCTCAAGGGCTTATTCGTCCAACAGCGTAAAACCATATGATGGAGCATGGGCAAATTGTTTGCTCCTATTAGCACCTAAATATGGAACTGATGTTTTTCAACCAACACACAGTGCATTTTCAAAGAAGCCATGGTTAGGCTTACGAGTGAGATCACTATGTTAAAATTTAGTTTGACCGTACATGTCATATGGCCGATATGGTGGTGCTACTATATATGCTACGAAGTAAGCAAAATTGCCATTAGAACTGGACAAATTCGTTATGTGATTTCTTCTGAAAATAAAAAAAAACTGCATGGTGTCCGCCACACAGCATGGCTTTGAGTCAAAGCCCGAGACAATGTTTTATTCTGCAATGAATACACACAATTCTTTACGAATATGAGCAATCTCGCTGCTGTATTGTACGCAGGTTTCTATAAAGAACCTTCGGCCTGCGCATTCCACTTTGTTAGCTCTATATTGCAACAATGACAAGGCACATTTCAATGCCACCTTGGCAAGATTGAAAACTCTACGGCAGTTATTGAGAAGGTTTGATGACGCAGCTTCACGACGCGTTGTTACGTTCAAAATGACTATTAGACGTCATATTCAAAACAAACGTCTTTTTGTGCGTGTTGCACCTACGGTATTCATCGTATTAAAATGATGCTTGGAATTCTTCAGGACCCCAATAAAAAGTTTTAATATCCATATAACAAGTGTCGCAACTGGTTGTATGAAAGTATATTCAAGATATTGGGCTTACCTTTCTCACTGCCTCTTTAAGCATGTTTGACTGAGTCAGGTTCCTTTCCGCAGAGCTTGTACGGCAGTTGAATCGTGGTGGTGCCTCCAATGCACGCGCCTTGGCTAGGCTCTCGATGGCTCGCACCAAAACGATCAGAGCATCTTGAGTGAGAGCCGCGTCTGTCTGGACGCAAACACCAGGACTTTTTGCGATTGTTCACTTGCAACGCTGTGAGTAACGCTGATTCAAAGTGCTTATTTCGAAGTTTTTCACACATTTGACTTGGTCAACCATATTTCGAAATTTATAGGAAATTTATAATTGTAAATTTTCATATAGAGATAATTTGATAATAAAAAATAATACTAAAATGTGTTGTGGTTGTCTATTACCAGTTTGTTCGATGGAAGGAATGCAAGAATTCGCAGCACATCGACAACAATTTAGGAAGCCGGATATTTATTCATGATAATGACTGATTTCTGAGTAAGGAAAGCATTATAAAAAGTAATCCAATAGTGACTGAGACCTACACGCATTGCATATACCGCCTGTTTCGTATGCTCAATACTTTGCAAGTTGCAATGTTCCTGATCCTCTTTGCAATATGTGAAGTAGCATACCAGTTGCTCTAAACTGTTTGATCTCCGTGCCTTTCATTCTCAGTTACTTGGTTCATCTTCACTGAGAGCGGGTAAAGAAATCCAATTGACACGGGTACGCCATGAGCCCGAGGACATTTGCCGAAACAAGAGGACGTGAAGCTGCTTGGCTGAAAGCAGATTGCCTGAAATTTATTTAGAGTTATTCTAAAAAGCAGTGCCGATGGCTGTACATCAACACATTAGAAACTCGCTTAGTCCTGCGTCCTGCGTGTTTCTCTACCCAGCGTTCTCGTTCCCGTTTTGATGCTTTGTCACCGCGAGTTTCAAGCAACTCAGGCAGTTTTGTATTTTACACCACACACCTAGTGTAATTTTGCAAAATATTGTATTTTTGGGTCCGTTGGCGGAGCATCTTGCATAGGAGGGGGCACAAGTCGGTTTGGAAGAAAGTACGCAAGATACAGGCTCACATGCAAGTGGGCGTCTTTTCACTCTTGTGAACGTTTTTCCGAACCACTTCTGCACTACCGTACACAAGATGATATTTTAACGCGACAGCATTAGAGAGATCGTTTCGCAGAAATGCTGGGGTTGGCGTCTTTGGTAGTGAGCGAAAAATCATCTTATCCGTTACTCAAAAATCGAGATTGATGCAAATAAAGTAAGTAAATGCCATAAAATCCTGAAGAAGAGTAAGGAACGCACCAGGGTTGTTTGGGCTTGAGTGGGGACCGAACATGGGTCGTTTGCGTGGCAGGCGGATGTCCTACCACATGACCACGCCTCTGCTTGTGAAAACAGCGACAAGAACTTTGTCTGCTTGTAAATTCACTGAAAGTAGCTTTCATGCTTCCCAAACACACGCGTCCTGTATACATTCATCGAGATGTAAGATGCAATATTGCAGTATTATTGCGTGGTACAAGCTTCCATTGCCAAAGGGCGTCAGAATGTGTGATTATCATAATAGCTCCATGGTTGAAAGCCAGTACCCCCCTACAAAAGGCCCACATGGCACTGCACCTATTCCTTTAAGGTCACGTATAGTGGAGGCATGGCTAATTCGAAAAGGTTTCATGCACTAAATATCTGCAATACGCGCTAAGAACAAGCTGTCGCTATGGCATTCAACTTGTGAAGGCTAAGCTTTAAGCTCCCCAAATTTTTTGTTAGTCTTAACTATGTAATCAGGAAAAAACAATTATCCTCTTTGTTTCTCGAGGTATATATTTATTTTATTTTATTTTGTTTTATTTATTTTATTTTCACCAAAACAGGTACAACGGCAAAAATAGCGAATGCGAAATAGCAATGGCGAAAGGTAGTTGAACTAAGATATTGGATATGAGAAGAGAGAGAGAGAGATAAAGATGCAAGGAAAGGCAGGGAGGTTAACCAGACGCACATCCGGTTTGCTACCCTGCACTGGGGAGGAGATAAAGGGGAGAAAAGAGGTTGCGGAAAGATGAGAAGGTACACACAATCACGAGCACACTCGGGGAGCACACACAGTTTACAGGCGGTCGTTGGATATGAGAAGAATATTATAAAACTATGGAGCTATTTGTGTCATGGTAAACGGGGTGCAAACGGGGTAAGCAGACAATGTTCCTAATATAAACGAGTAATTTCAAGGCATCGGAAGAGCATCATGTTTTTACAAATGTAAAATGTATTGCTTGCAGTTAAATGTGGGGTGATCAATAGTCATGTGATCTAAGAAGCTCAGGGTTAAGCACGAGAAATGAGCACGAGAAAACCGAAGACAATGACCTTTTTTATTAATAAATGTATGTAACGAGAGGTTGGTGCCAATCTCTCCTTACATACATTCAATAAAAAAAATTCATCTTCCGGAATTTTATTTATAAATATGCGTTCATGTGTGCATAACTTCTTTTCATTAAACATAAAACTGCTATATATTACACAATGTTTGCATTCTAACATTGGGTCTGTTACCTGCTGTAAAAGCTCATTTGCTGCTTCAAATCGAGGTTGTATATGCTCCAGAAGCTGCGCATATGCACCTTCTGTCACAGTCAGTCTTAAACAGGGAACCTCGACCTATCTTGTGATGCTTCTCAGAACTAAGTATTGCAGTGAAGCCTTTCAGCTTGGCCTACCAGTGGTTGTGATGCATGGTGTAGTCAGCTTTCATTGATTGGAGGCATGCACTTGTTGTGACATGTGATGTGCCTATGTACAACGACTTACTTAGCCATACCAAGTTAATGCGGCGATGGCGTAGTGGTTAGAGCATCCACCTCGCATGCAAATGGCCCGGGGCTCAAATCCCGGTGCAACGCAGTTCCCAACCGGATAAAAAAATTGGCAGCATATCCACGCAGTGAATGATGGATAGTGGGGCAAAGCATCCGTCCATCCATTTGTTCTTGCTTCCGCCCATCCATGCGTGCGTCTGCGTGGCCACCCGTGAGTCCATCCGCCCGTCCGTGCGTGCGTCTGCTCGTGCGTCCGCACGTTCATCTGAGCGTTCATCCCTGCTTTCGTCCATGCATCTGCTCCTGCGTCCATCCATGCATCTGCTCCTGCGCCCCTCCATCCGTCCATCCGTCCGTGCAGCCGTCCATGCGTCCATCCATGCATCTGTCTGTGTGTCCGGTCGTCCACCTAATCAACACTCCAAGTACCACCATCTCGTAAATTTTCATCATATATTCCTCATGTAGAAACACCACCATTTAGCGGACATTCCAAGGACTGAACGAGAGGAGGCACACGCACACTTTCTTACGGCTTACGCTTTGAGTCTACTTCCCACCTTTAACCTCCTCGAGTTCATGGTATATACTAGTTCACTGTATTCATGGCACTGTGGCCCAACGCTCACTAAACCTCTCTAAAGCCCAAGAGCTTATGCCCAGCGAGTATAACGTAGCAACCCTTTCTTGTCTTCTGTGCGTTGTTGAACAATGAAAAATTTGCAGCGTGCGCGTTGAAAGCCGAATTAAAAGCCGAATTCTCCTGTCTCTCATTCTTCCTTAGCAGCCATTGGCATGTACATTGAGCACTATCTTTTATTGTTCAACAACGTACAGAAAAAATCTCTCACCGGCACCACCTTGGAGGTCAAAAATGTTATACTTGTTACGCACTACAACGACGGCTACGAGGGACGAACGGGTGTCGCTATAAGGAGCTTCTCTTTGTTTTCTTGAGTGATTCGTGATCTGTAACAATATTGGAAGTGCTGTGTGTTACATTCGGTCTATGTTCTCTTGTTTCCACACGCCACTGAAGTAATTTCGTTACACCAGACAGTTGTAGTCACCTGAAATGTTGTTACCAGTTTGCAATAAACTTCCCTGTTTCGCCCCTAAAAATCCGCGTGAATATAACACTGCATCAAGAGAAACCTGGGCTGCGGCCCCATCTGTAACCACCGCCGAAAACGCACTCCCTCACCAGAGAAGGATTGGCCACCGTGGTGCAGTATCTGGCCACTACCTCCCACATGCATACGTCAATTAACTCACGGCCCTCAGTCCCCAGCAGCTGCGAAGCAACTGCCAACAGCGGCGGTCAGATCTGCAACGCCGCAGAGGGTGCTAAGAATTTTCGGATCCGGACAGGTCTCCATTAGAAGCTCAACTTGACAAAGTTTAACGCTAGAACCTTATCTAGCGAGGGAAGTCTAGCTGTAATATTCGAGAATCTAGAGGGTGTAAATGAATGGGATATAATAGGGCTCAGTGAGGTTAGGAGGACAGATGAGGCATATACGGTGCTACAGAATGGGCACTTTCTTTGCTATCCGGGCTTGGATAACAGAAGAGAACTTGGAGTGGGGTTCCTAGTTCACAGAAACATAGCGGGCAACATTGAGAAATACTATAGCATTGATGAAAGAGTGGTAGGTATCGTGAATAAACTGAATAAAATATACAAGTTGAAGGTGGTACAGGCTTACGCGCCTACATCAAGCCATGATGACTCTTTATTTGAAAGCTTCTATGAAGACAGGGAATCGGCAATGGGTAAGGTAAAAACACAGTATACTATACTGATGAGAGACTTTATTGTAAAGGTAGAGAAGAAGAAGGCTGGAGACCAGGCAGTAGGATATTATGGCATCGGTACTATAAACGCCAGAAGAGAGCTACTAGTAGAACTCGCAGAACGCAATAATTTACGGATTTTGAATACCTTCTACCGAAAACGAGGAAACCACAGTGGGACATGGAGGAGCCCTTACGGAGAAAATAAGAACGAAATAGACTTCATAATGAGTGCACTGCAAGGCATCATGCAGGATGTGGAAGTGGTTGGCAAGGTACGATGCAGTGACCATTAATGGTATGGTCTCGAATTCGCCTAGACTTGAAGGAGGAACGAGAGAAACTGATACGCAAGAAGCCAATCAATGAGCTAGCACTGAGAGGGAAAGTACAGGAATTCAGAGTGTCGCTGCAGAACAGGTACTCCGCTCTTAGTGAGGAAACCAACCTTAGCGTAGATACAATGAATGATAATCTGACGAGTATCATTACGGAGTGTGCAGTGGAAGTTGGAGGCAGGGTTGTTAGACAGGACACTGGCAAGCTGTCCCAGGAAACGAAGAATCTCATTAAGAAGCATCATATCATGAAAGTCTCAAGTACAACAGACAAAATAGAACTGGCAGAGGCTTTCGACGCAATACTGAAAGTTGGGCTAGTTGGCGATACATTATGGGCAGAAACAGCGCACAAACTCACGAGACGAAGAGAAGAGACACAAAGCAGCGCTTGTTTGTGTCTCTTCTATTTGTCCCGTGAGTTTGTGCGCTGTTTCTGCCCATAATAGAGCTTTCGAAGTTGATTAATAGGCGTAGAGTATGCGATGTAAGAAGGTATAACATGGAGAAAATTGAACACGCTCTGAAAAACGAAGGAAGCGTCAAAGCAGTGAAGAGGAAACTTGGGATAGGCAAAAATTCGATATATACACTTAGGGACAAAGAAGGCAAAACAACTACAAATATGGATAGCATTGTTAAAATACTGGAGGAGTTTTACTAAGATCTTTACAGTAGCCGGGACAACCACGAACTTAATACTATAAGAACTAGCAGTAACTCAGTTGCCACCCCACCAGTAATGATAGAAGAAGTCAGAAAAGCTTTGAGAAGCATGCAAAGAGGCAAATCTGCTGGTGAGGATCAGGTAACGCCTCATCTGCTGAAAGATTGAGGACAGATTGTGTTAAAAAAACTAGCCACCCTATTTACGAAATGTTTCCTGACGGGAAGAGTACCAGAGTCTTGGAATAATGCTAACATCACCTGAATACATAAGAAAGGAGATGAGAAGGACATGAAGAATTACAGGCTGATCAGCTTGCTCTCTGCCGTATACAAGCTATTTACAAAGGTAATTACTAACAGAGTGAAGAAAACATTAAAATTCAATCAACCAAAGCAACAAGCAAGATTTCGAACAGGCTACTCAACCATCGACCACATTCATACTATCAATCAGGTAATACAGAAATGCTCAGAATATAACCAGCCACTATACATAGCCTTCATTGATTACGAGAAGGCGTTTGATTGAGTAGAAATATCAGCCGTCATGCACACACTTGCAAGATCAGGGCATCGATGAAGTATATTTAAACATCCTGGAAGAAATGTACAGCGCATCAACTGCTACCATAGTGTTTTCTTAAAGAAGGCAACAAAAGCAACAGAATATCAATCAAGAAGGGTGTAAGGCAGGGGGACACAATCTTCCCAATGCTATTTAGCGTGGCCTGCTTACAGGAAATTTTCAGAAGCCTAGAATGAAAACAGTTAGGGATAAGAGTTAATGGAGAGTACCTTAGTAACCTGCGCTTCGCCGATGACCCTGCATTGCTGAGTAACTCAGGGGACGAATGTCAACTCATGATTACGGAGTTAGACAAGGAGAGCAGAAAGATGGGTCTTAAAATTATTCTGCAGAAAGCGAAAGTAATGTGCAACAACCTTGGAAGAGAGTAGTGCTTCGAGATAGGTAATATTGCACTTCAAGTGATAAAAGACTATGTCTACTTAGGGCAGGTAATAACCGCGGAAAACGAGCCACAAGATTGAAATAAATAAAATAATAGGAATGGGGTGAAGCACATTTGTCAAGCACTCTCAAATTATGACAGGTAGGTTGCCACTATCCCTCAAGAGGAAGGTATATAACAGCTGTATCTTGCCGGTACTTAGCTACGGAGCAGAAACCTGGAGACTTACAAAGCGGGTTCAACTTAAATTGAGGACGACGCAGCGAGCAATGGAAAGAAAAATGGTAGGTGTAACCTTAAGAGACAAGAAGAGAGCAGAGTGGATTAGGAAACAAACGTGGGTTAAGGATATCATAGTTGAAATGAAGAAGAGGAAATGGACATGGGCCGGGCATGTAGCGCGTAGACAGGATAACCACTGGTCATCAAGAGTAACTAACTGAAATTCTAGAGAAAGCAAGCGGGTTAGGGGAAGACAGAAGGTTAGGTGGGCAGATCAGATTGTGAAGTTTGCGGGTATAAATTGGCAGCAGCAAGCGCAGGAGCGGGTAAACTGGCAGAACATGGGAGAGGCCTTTGTCCTGCAGTGGACATAGTCAGACTGATGATGACGATGATTATGGAAACGTGGTAGCAGCTGCAGATATGAGTTTTCAGTGCACGGCTTTTCACGATTAGTACACTGCTTTTGAGAACACGGTGTTTTCTACAGCATAACATTAGAGTGTGACTATTATGCTTTGTTACACCTCTGTAGTGAGTGCAGATCAATTATGTTAAGCGAGCTTCATGGTTTAAGACACGCAAATTTCACTTCTCCTTCATGACACCGTTTTTCGACTAAGATTCAGTGCATCCCTTAGCAGAATCTGCCGAAAGCGTGCAGTTTCTTCGGGGCTAATATCTACCTCGATGTGCAAACTGATATCTATTCTTGCGGGAGTACCGAACACCATGTTATTTTCTACTGATGGAGACACAGTGTTATCGCTATAACAGATGGTGGTTGATGCTCCTAATATAAACGAGTAATTTCAATGATTATGCTACTACTGCTAAGTGTATAAATTTTACAATATATCTACTCGTGACGAATTGTGGTTTGAGTATGATGTAGTCTTTTCAGTAACTGTTATAAATGTTCAACAGAGAAATTGAACCCTTACTAAACTAACTACCTAATTCAAGCCGCTCGACTGATGCGCTGCTTTATTTGAATATAGTCACAAGATATAGAGTGTATTTGAGACGCATAAAACGATGCAAAAAAAACTTATATATAATATTTTCCAGCCTTGTTTACAAAGCAGCTTGAGTCCTTAACTGTGACAGGCCAATTCTGCAAACAGTGGTGATTGAGAGTGCACGGCTTTAAGAACTCACCCTTATTTGCTTCCAGGAGACTCGATGAGTCAAGAAGAGTGGGTATAAGCCAGTTTCTGTGTACTTCTCACGTACAGCTCCAATGTCCTGTTCCCAGACTTCTCTCTTCAGGAGCATGAAGCCAGTCAAATTCGTCGCAGACTTTTCGCAAGCTGTCAGGTCGACACTGTGGAGGTCCTGCGCCATCCAGATACTTGGTTTAAATAGCGAAACCAGGAACCTAGGTTCATAAAAATGGCAACATTTTTGTGTAATTTACACTTCTATAAGTTGTATCTTCTGACTTAAGTTCACTGTTATAGCTTACTATTATTTGAGGATCGATACGCGTTAAGTGCAGAACATATTATTTCTTTATCACTGACAATGGGCGACAATGTATCTCTATCATATTTTTCCACAAAATCTCGGATATAACAGTCAGGCATTGATTTCTGCCACGCTATAGCACGTTATGTAATAAGAATGCTCATTCTGACCTTTTATTTTGAAATGCAGTAATGAACAAAAAATTCCGCATATCGTGCAAAACCAAGCAAAAACCTGTGGTTAAATAAATCTATATCTTCACAAGGACAACACAACAAACTAACAGCTGAAAAGGGCATTTGGCGATCGACACTTGTAGACAGACAAGTTAAATGAACTGAAAAGTACATCTCGAACAATAAAAAGTGAGATGGCGCCACGAGGAGATTGGTTTTTGTGAACCTGCATCTGTGTTTCTCTTTAATTTATCGCAAGAATACACTGCAGCTTTTAATTATGAATGCAAGTGTACACTAAGATGACCCTCGGATACAATCCACTATTTTGATGTCGTGGCATTTCTTCAGTTATGTATGTGGACGCATGCTCTAAAGAACACTTTCTTCAGACATTATGCGGGAACGGTCCGCTTTTTAACACCATCCAGGGCTGGGTGATGACAAGCTAGTCCGCAGAATTAACTTTTGTAATCGATAATTTTATTGCCCCTGCTGTATCAATTTTTTCTAAACAGAACATCGAAAAAAGCACGACAGATAGGACAACATTGACATTGCAAAAATTTGTCGATGGCGCTTACCAGTGTGGTGACAATGAAGTTGTGATACTCATTCACGATTCCAACTCTTTGTGCCTGTAAATATATTTTCACATTATGTGAGATGCGATGTGTGTTTCATAGAATAAGGGCATTTTGAAAGAACACAAGAGTATATATCAGCACTAATGAATTTCCGACAAAAGAATCGCTCAAAACTGCTCGTGCGAATACCTCAAGTCAAACAGGAATGACGCTCTCGAAAAGTGCTCAAATGCCGATAGGATTAAGTTACAAAAAGTTATGGTTCTATTTTCTATTTTTTGAACACCCAACAGAAACTAAACAACCCAACGTAGTTGAGTACGTACCAATTTACTTTTCGCTTAATTAAGGGTGATATACGAACGAAGGCCGGTGTTCAAAGATTTGTTTACCTTTTTCGTGTGGATGGTATTTTAAACATAGTGACTAAAAAAGTGTTCAACAGATTGCAGTAGGACTGAAATATTAAATTCAAGGACCCGATAGCCCAGAAAACGACAGTAAAGAAACGTAAGCATGCGCGTACACTATACTCATATCAAAATATGAATGTTCCCGTACATGTCTCAACAAATCACCCAGCTTGTGAGTCGCCACGTCGAGCACGATGTTGCTTTCGCCGTTCTTTGCGATCTCCCGCAGAACGATCCCAGGGTTCATCTTCTCCGGAAGTAACCGAAGTGACACCGGAATCGGGACACTGCCAGGCTGAGTCAAGTGCAAGAGGCCTGCGCAGCCGCACCAACGCTGCGAATTGCATAAAGGAAATAAAAAAGGCCTTCACTGCAGCGATCGCGCCAGCCTTTGATAAATATCGCAAAAATATGAACAAGCCTCCATTTCAAGAAAGACTGTGCGCCAGTGCATTCAGAACTTCTACTTCGGCACACCCAGTTTGTATTATTACAGAACGCTAGAAACGTTGCTTTAAGGTTTAAAATATTTCCGGCGTGCTAGAAGCAATGAACTGAGCGAAAATTATGAACACTGCTTGAACACAAAATGATACCCGAGGTATAGCAAAAAAGCGTAGCCTGGGTGCATCCTTTTTTTTTCATCACTAAATCGCCCCAAGTCATGTGATGTGCTGATAAGGTGAACATTGTGTATTATGAAGGAGTGTTGCGAGTGCTAGGGCAAAGAGCAAGGGTAAACAGGATTCCGGTTGACAGTATTGGCCGATATGCTTCCCCAAAGTCCATGCTCTTGGTTCATGTAGAATTATTAATAATAAAAATATTACTTGTTGGGTTTCACGTGCCAAAACCACTGTGTTAATATGAAGGACGCCGTAGTGGAAGCTAGGCTCCGGAAATTCGGACCACTTGGGGTTTTTTAACGTCTAACGTTTTTTAACAGTTTTTAAAAATTACTCTTGCATATGTCATTGTACCAAAAAATATCAATTATTATTTGGGTAATGGTCACTGCTAATGCTTCATAAATATTCCAGTATCATCCATTTTTTATTTATGAATGGGAGGCACTGAGATTCATAAAGCCAGAAGTGATAACGCACATCAAAGCTAAAAACAAAATAACCAATATATTTCAATACACATAAAGTCATAATATTTAGAACGAACATACTGAAAAGTTCGTTCGTGATATGTTTTCTGTTTTTCTTTTTTCTGGTAGGGAGTTGGTGGGAATAGCCTAGTTTGAGTATTTCGCTGTAGAGTTCTGGCTGGTTTTTCAAAAGCGTTCTCAATGTGTGTATAAGAAATAAAAAACGACGTTTCTCTTCGGAGAGGACAAATACAAGCATATCACCGAGAACTACCATGGAGGAGCGCTAAACATTCATTGAGCAATAACGTTATGACGTGGCTAAATTCTTAAAAACAAAAAAATAAACAAACGTATTGGCTAATCTCGACTGAAATTCGTAAAATGCTGAAAACAATTATGCGTGTTTGGCTTTCGCACGGGTTCACTAAATGACGCATAGAAATTTAAGCCAGGCCACAAGAATTTTCCGGAGGTGCGCAATCTTCGAAACTTGAGTGCAGGGACTAGTTTTGTCTTGGCTGTGCTAGTGTGTAATCAATGCCTGAACAACAGCGTATCATACAATACCATGCAAGAAATACAGGGCGTTGTGATTTTCCTTTTGATATTTTTTTTATCCTTATATTCCTCGGCTTCTCTTCACCGTCAGTGAAAGCGCACTTAATCCCTGATAGCATAAGGTGAGCTCACGAACACGGGTACAAGACCAGAAAGCGATGAAACAAGAAACGCTGTTAGCGTTTGTTTAATGCCCTTTGTCTCTCCATGTTTCCACGCATGCTAGCTGTTATGATGAATCTTGAACAAACAGGTCAACTTTCTGCTTTAATTAGGTTCAGCTCTAATCCAGCCGTGTGTCTGCCATCTTGCATGATAAATGAAGATGGACCAAGTCTCTTTCTAGTGAATTTGCGACGAAGATACGCTTACATTAACCTCTTGCAACATTGCTTGGGGCTTAAACGCTACATGCGGGATTCACCAAACGTACAATTGTCATATTGCTTGCATGCTTCAGGGCAGCGAGGTCTACAATAAACAGTAAGGTTTACGGGCTTTTGTGTGTGCCAAGGAGACGCTCATGATTCATGGAGGACATTTCCGCAACTCGTATTTTAGCGTAGAGCGAGTGCCCGTTTGTTATGGTTTCCGCGTACATTAATAGATAACGTTGAGCGGTCATTTGACAGAAAGACGAACAATAAATTGCTGTGTCGCGGAAAAAGTAGTTCTTCCATAGCTGAGACATTGCTGCTTCAAGCAGTTCGCGCTAGACTGAAGGCTAGGATATTTTTGTTTTCACAAATGAAGGAAACAGCCCCTGCTGATCTTCATAGTGGTCTCTGTAGAAGGAAGGAAGGAAGGAAAATAGGAGAAAAAGAACGGCAGGGAGGTTAACCAGTCTATAGGCAGCTGGTTTGCTACCGTGCTCATTGGAGGGGAATGAGGGAATGAAAAGTAGAGAGCAGGGAGAAAAGAGAGATACACACAGCACATTCGGCAGCACACGCGCGCACACTCAGTCATAGTCCAGTCTTGTCTTTTGTGGTGTGTGACATGGCTGTTACAGCCGCTTGTTCAAGTCCGTGTTGCGTGGGAATTTCAACAGAGCTTTTGTCGGCTTCTGTTGAAATGTCTTCTCTCGGACACTTGACAGAATAGCGTCCCCAGACATTTGGCTGTTGTCGATGTGCGCAAAAATGAATGCCAGTGGCTGTCTCTGGATGTCATACAGCGGACAGTCGCAAGTATATTCGTTGAGTAGCGGGCATGCTTGATGTTTGCAAGCACTGCACCGATGCATCTTATAGATTTCATTTCAGACGCAAGGAACACCTGAACTCCTAAGAATACATGATCACAACCACTATGAGAGCTAGTGTAAAGAATGCATGGATGTGTTTGTAAAACATTGGAAGGAACGCAATGCAACGTAAGATCAGGACAAAAAAAGGTGACACCCTCAGCGCTGTATGTCATCCTAGTTCGTCCGCGTTTTCTATACGCTGTGTTCCCTCCGGTGATTTAGGAGAGTACTGTGTTAGACAAGTTGAAGCTTTTCTGATCGGGGTAATTAGGCAAAATGAAACAACAAATAAAAAACGCGGAAAGAGAGTCTTTTTGTCACCCTGTCTCCTATTTGCATCTATGTTTTTGCAAACATTGCACCTTATATATACATGCTAGATATACAATGTCACCCTACTTTGCTACACTGTTAAGCATAGACACCGAGAATTAAGGCACAGGTTTTCCAATAGCCAAGCAAGAAACCTTCAAGTGAAAGAACAGATTAGTTTTTGTATGATGTCCTATAATATCAGTATATATTCATTGTTAGTCTGGAAAGCTACACGTTATAAAGTCTAGCGAAAACGAACCACCTAGAGCAATAGAAAGCAAGGTGGCTTTCACGCCCCATAACCAACATACGTTTATTAGGGACTCTGTAATGAAGGTCTCTGGAAATTCTAACCAGCTGGTGTTTTTAAACGTGCACTGACGTCGCATAGTACACAGGCCTCAACCGTTTCGCCACCTTCGAGATGTGGCCACCGTTGCCGCGATCTAACGCGTGACCTTCGGGTCAGCAGCTGACTAC